TTTGATGTTGGATGCCTTTGGACAGAAAATATTGGGTCATGGCAGTACTTTTACCCAATTCAAGAGCATTGTCAGATCTTATACATTTGACATGAGTGTTGAATTGTGTGTGGATCATGGTGATAAAGGTTTGGATCAAATCTGGGGCATTACTCTTGGCAGACAAAAGATAAGTCCAAGTTGCTCTAGAGAAATCATCCACAATGGTTAGAAAATAAGAGAAACCATTGTGAGTTTTGGTGTGATAAGGACCCCATATGTCTATATGGATTAACTCAAAAAGACAGACACTTTGAGTTTGGCTATGAGGAAAGGGCAATTTATGTTGTCTAGCCTTAGGACACACATCACAGGAATCAATACAACTTGTATCTCTAAAATCAAGAAAAGAGAATGATTTTAATTTGTAAGCAGGCAAGTGTCCCATTCTCATGTGCCAAAGAGTCATGTCATCAGTTTTACAAGCTTTATTAGAAGAATTGAAAGAAGAACAAGTACTATGAACAATATCAGAACATGGTGACTTCAACTGAGACTCAGGACTTCCTTTGGAAATATAAAGTCCACCTTGTTTTCTACCAAGAACCACTGGCTTCTTCATTGAATGGTCCTGCAGAATACATAGATCCTGTGTGAATGTGGTTGTAGTTCCCAGTTGGTTACACAACTTGCCCACAGACAGAAGATTGTATTTAATTTTCTCTCTCATTCTCGTTGGATCAGTTCCTATTTTTTACGCTGCAACCTTCAGCGTTCTTCTTCCTTTCATCACGAAGATTTCTCTGAAATCTTCGCCAGACTCATGAAAATCAACATGGTATCGGAGCAATAGATTTCTGATCTGAAGCTTCTTTGCTGTTCTTCGTTTCTTTTCATCTTGTTTCTATTGATCGATCTTCATCGCTAATATTAGCAATGGCAAATTCTGGAGTTCCTGCTAATTCTACAATCGGACCTATGAATCCTTTATATCTTCATCCTTCTGATAATCCTGGGATGAATCTGATATCCAAACAGTTTGATGGAGAAGGATTTGGTTCGTGGAAGAAGTCCATGTCAATTGCTTTATCTGCAAAAAATAAACTGGAATTCGTGAAAGGAAATATTGTGAAACCGATTGGAGATCCACCACAACTCAGCGCTTGGCAACGCTGCAATGACATGATAACTTCTTGGATCCTGAATGCGCTGACTAAGGAAATTGCAGACAGTGTTCTATATGCCAATTCAGTGTGTGAGATCTGGACAGAGCTTGAAGAGAGATATGGTCAGTCCAACGGTGTGAAGCTTTATCANTTGCTAATGAGGCCTTTACCAACTGTTAGTCAAGCTTATGGACATTTGATTCATGAAGAAAGGCAAAGAGGAATTCAAGCTTCTTCACCTCTTGTCTCAGAACATGCCTCTTTAAATGTTAATAGTCACAATTCATTCAAACCTGGAAGCAATATAGGAGGGTACAAAGGCAGATTTGATAACAAGAAATTAGTCATATGTGAGCATTGTAAGAAGCCAGGACATTCAGCCAATAAGTGTTACAGACTTGTTGGATTCCCAAAAGATTTCAAGTTCAATAAGGCAAAGAAGATAGCAGCTCACACCTCTACTGGTGAAGACTCCACAGGAAATGAAGAGAACATTACTAATCAAAGCTCTGATACCATGTTGATTTTCATGAGTCTGGTGAAGATTTCAGAGAAATCTTCGTGATGAAAGGAAGAAGAACGCTGAAGGTTGCAGCGTAAAAATAGGAACTGATCCAACGAGAATGAGAGAGAAAAATATCTGGCAGGATTTTTTTCGAAATCAACTAAAATACAATACAAGCAAGTATTTATACTCAAGGACTCTAAGCCACATCATCTACTTGTCCAACTCAGCAAATAAGAGAAAACAAATAAAATGAGTTTATCTACTAACAGTATGTAAAATTCATTCTTTAGCCACAATTACAAGTTTGAGCTTTTGATTGAGTTGGTTCCTTGACACCCACTATTAGCTTAGCGACAACAAAATGACTACTTAATAAAGCTTATCATGCCCATCCCTTTATGAACTAGAGAAAATCCTTTGAAAAAGTTCTAAAATGACACAAGTCTCAATTCGCATCCATCACGTATAGTGGCCAGCCAACATTTAGATTTTGAGCTATTCGTCATCACACTAGCCTATGTAGTGAAGGAAGAAGAAGGAGAACAGTGAATGAATAAGAAGAAAGTGGCGAACATGAAGAAGTGAACATACAAAGACTAAAAGAGATAAGTTTATGAAGCTCACATTCAAAGCAAACTTCTACTTCCCGAGTTATAAAGATTAGTGTTAGAGCACATCGCTCTAGTTTTGTATAAATTTAGACAACACAATTTCATTGTTTTTTTAAATGTCGAGTGAAAAAATAAAATCTTTGATTTGAGACGGAGAAAGTATAATTAAATAACCTAAAATATGACAAAGTGGAACTTATTTTTCCTAGCTCATTAGACCACCAATTTAGTACCTAAGAGCTCATGATACTATATCTGTCATTGACTCTTTGACCAGTTTTAACTTTTTATAATCGAAATTGATAAACTCTGACAATTAATTAAATAAAATTAAAACTACACATTGACAAAAGAATTTTTCTATTAGATTTATTTTATAAAATACTTTCAAAATTATCTAATTAATTACCATACAATATTTATTTAATTATAGGTCAAAAGTTCAACATGATTATTTATAAAAAGTCAAAACTAGATAAATATTCGGGACAAAGGTAGTACAACATATTTGAGACGAGGAAAATAATGTTGAAATGTTGCAACAACTAGCTTTCATAGCTCAGTTGGTTAGAGCACCCGTTTAGTAAGCGCGAGGTCTTGAGTTCAAATCTCAATGAAAGCAACATATTTTTTATTTTCATTATGATTTTTTCTCTTTTTTAAAGAAAATTTGACTATGAGGTGAATTTGTCTAAAATGTTTTTACTAAAAAAGTGGAGTGTTTTTCAAGTAGGTGGAGTATTTTTGTCTTAACACACAGATATGCGAGAAACAAAAATATTAAATCCAAATGGGAGTATTTTCTTTTATGTTTCGTTGAAATAATTTTCAATTAAATTAATTACATTACAGTTTATTGATGGTTTCCCTCAATGCACACGAGGATTTGAATTTATTTGAAATTAATGTATCATTGGAAAATAAAATTTATATTTCCAAAACCAAAACCAAAATTTCACTCAATTCCACGAGTAAAAGTTACAAAAAGAGTAAAATGAAAAAGAGAAGGAATACACAATCCCAAACCAGCAAAGACATTCGATAGCAAACCATCAACGAAAATCACATTCCACACAATACAAACTAGCATTTCCACAAGGCACACACATATAATTACTACATTATATTAGCCGATTGGCGTTCCAGGGGTTGAAGTTGGGGGTCCTTTGTATCAGGTAGAAGAACATTCTGGTCATCAATGTTCACCCTGCTACGCTTATCAACACAAGGCCCATAACTCCAGCTACAAACACCAAAATAGATTAGATTAATGAGCGTCAAGATGGCAAGAAGCCAATAATAATACTCGTAATGCCCCTTGTTTATATTGCTAGACACCCAACTGATCCCCCCCTCTCCCCCTCTGGTCGTTGCACGGTCCACCATGCTTAGAATCACACTTGCCAGCAGGTTCGCCACCGCCATTCCCAAACCAAAAAGTGACGAAGCAATGCTCGACATGCTCTTTGGGAGCTCAGAGTAATAGAACTCTGTCTGTCCTATCGCATTGAACGCCTCGGCCAACCCATTCAGACAGTGTTGGGGCACAAGCCACATAGCCGACATGTCCACCACGGCTCTGGGGTTGTTTAGGAACCCTTGTTCTATTGCTTTCCTTCGTCTTACGTGCTCGACAACCCCAGAGAATAACATCCCTATGGCAGACAGAAATATCCCCATCCCCATTCTTGTTTTCGTGCTGAGATGTACCGGTTTCCCTCTTATCTTCGATGCTAATGGAAGGACTGCTCTATCATAGAGGACGACCCAAATGGTTAGAGCAATGATGGTGAACATCCCAAAGGATCCAGCTGGGATTTCGAAGCTTTTGGTGACATGTCTATCCATGGAGCTCGCTTGTAGTAGTGGGAATGAACTCTGGCTTATGTTGATGGATAACATTATCCCAGTGGACCACAGTGGGATCACTCTTAACAGAGCTTTTAGCTCCTCAACCTGATCAACACTGCATAGCTCCCATGGATTTGCTGGAACGCCATCTGCCTTCACATCTTCAGCTTTCTTGATTATGCACGCCTTGTTTAAGAACCTACCCAATAACTCAGCATAAAGCTTAATTTGAATATGGGTACAAGTCCAAAATAAGGGAATAATAATGGATCAGTATTATACCTTAATTTGTCAGTGGGCACCATGAATTCTGAACCTTTGTTGAAATGGTAATAACAAGGGATTTGAGATGGTGGATGAGGGAGGTGACGGTTCTTGAAAGCAGCCACCAGCACGCGGGCAAAGCGGCTAAACAGATTGCCGCTACTCTTGCCCTTGACATACAAAGGAGAGGCGAGAATGAAGACCGTGGCAGCCACTAACATGAGAAGGGCCGGAATTCCGAACCCAACTTTCCAGCCAAAATGATCTTGAATGTAGACAATCGCAGTGAGAGCAATCATGACTGAGACTGCAGCGGAGGCGTAGTACCAACCAAAGTAGCTCTCCAACACCCTTTGGTTCCGAGGGTTGTCTTTCTTCTTGTTCAGCTGGTCCGCCCCAAAAGCTAAAGAACATGGTCTTATGCCGCCTGCACCAATGGACATCAGCACAAAGGAAGTGACCAGGACAAAGAACTGTGCCGATGTGGCGGCGGATTTACACGGTTGCGGATTTGGTCGGGTGCATTCTGGAGGCCTTAGTTTCGCAACCATTGCCGTCAGCCACAACACAACCATCCCCTGCATTATTGGACATATAATCAACCAGAATGAGAATGGAAGTGGTAAAAAAAGGAAATTGAAGAAGAAGGAAGTTATGAATTAATTACCAAGAGGCTGAAAATTGAACCAAGGGAAATGGTAAGGAAACGACCCAGATAAGAATCAGAGAGAAAAGCACCAAGCAAAGGCAAGAAATTGGTGGCAGCTGACCAAAAGAATAGTAAATTCTGGCCTTTGGCCACACTCATCCCGTAATCATTCATCAAATACAGTATCATGTTTGGCAATAGCCCATAGCTTGACACCTTCTCCAGTGCCTCATTTGCTGCTTAATTGAAAACAAAACACAAATTGAGCAAACTGTCACGCCATTATGATTTAGGAAACAATAGTCGACGAACATTAATTAAAGCCCGTAAAGGCAGGACCTATGATGAAGGGCATTGTGACAAGACCGCCCTTTGGTTTCGTTTTTCGCTGGATCGCTGATGCAGCTTCTTCATCTTCTTCCTCAAGCTCTGGCTTCATTTTCTTAAGCTGCAGAGAGCTATCGTCCATATTCTTCTTCCTCTCCTTTTTTTTTTCTAACTTCTCGATTAATTCAAGACAGGGGCGAACAAAACAGAGGAGAGAGAGAGAGAGTGAGAAGTTGGGGGTGTGACTTTTTGGGAGTATGGCTGAATATGGAAAAGGGAGAAAGGAACATCTAACGTCAAGTCCGGGTGACTTTTATGAGTTTTATCTGCTAGCCTGGACGACCAAGGTATTGTTTGAAAAAACATTTCGATCGAGACCTTCTCCTCTCTTCATCCCAAATATCTTTTACACTTTAACTATTTTGTTAAAAGAGTTGTACCCTTTCATCAAAAATTATGAAAAAATTTATACTTCCTTTTCCATTTTTTAATATTTTAAACAATGTATAAAATCTCATTTTTTTAAAATTACTTTATTTACAAATTGGTCTATTACAAAAAATAAACATATTATTATTTAAAACTATATCAAAAATTTTACAAAACAAGATATGATAAGAATATTTTATTTTTTTCAAATGATTAAGTAAAGCATGCAAACAAATACTACGTATAAGGTATCAAGAGGCTGTAATAATAATTGATAAGTAAGAGTTTCATGTGTTTTAACCCAAATATAAAGGTACAATATATGCCAATATATAGTACAAAAGAATACGACGGATGCAACTTTACAGTGCCACAATATTACAATGTAAACTCCTGCTTTGGAAAAAAACATAGAATTTCTATTTTAAGGATAAATACTATGGTTTACTCCTATTTGAGGTGATTTATAATTTATTATCATTTTTTAGCTTGATTGAAATTTTTTGCCTATATTAACGTTATTTTGGCTTTCATTCGGCTATCCATCATTCAAAATCTTTTGTTTTAGACTTTGTCCAATACTGTACGTAATTCATTACAACTTTTTAATAATCGATTACGGTGCGTTCTTTTATAGGTAGTTTCTAGGATGTCCAAGCAAATAAGAGGGCATGCATGCCCCTCTATTAAATTGATGCCATGTGGACATATGATCATCTCATCTATTAATGCCCTCCACGTAATTTAAATTATCAAAAATTGCAATTGACCTTGTCTCCTCTAATTCATTAAAATTGTTAACTAGTTACCGTTAACTTGTTGCCTTCGTCTAATACATTTTTTTCATTCTAATTTTTCATTAAAAGCATGGTTAACTTTTTTTTAAAGAAAACACGGTTAAATTAAGAAAAAATGCTTAATAGAGTAATGGTTTTAGTGCCTTCGTGGTTTGAAAAAAATAAGTAGTACTAATTTTTAAAAACTTATTTTTATAATAATCTTTATGACTTCAGAACGTTAGACTGCACACGAGCATTCTCGCTAACTTTTTTCGTTCATCTTTTGGCAAAGAGGGGGATTGGTGTCTAACTTTTTTCGTTCATCTTTATTGTTTTGTTTTTGATTTGATTTTTATATTTTTTTATTTTCTTTTTATTTTTGAAAACAAAAATAAATTTTTTTAACTTGAGACAAATAAATTATCCGATAGTGTAATTTTATTTCAATTATTTCACACAAAAATGGAAAATAGGATATTCC